GCAGCTCGGCCGCCCGGCGGGGGCGGCGGCCAGGAGGAAAGCCACGGCTCGTTGGCGCGCTCGGCAAAGGCGGCAACCCGGGCGAGCGCGTGCGCCGGGTAGCCCTCGCCGCACGCCGCCGCGGGGTCCGTGTGCACCCTCGCGTCGACGTACGAGGCGACGAGGCGCGAGCCCGGCCCCGTCGCGCGGCCGAGCGCCTCGAGCGTCGCCGCCACGGCCTCGGCCGGCATGTACTGCGTTAGGCCCTCGACCGTGACGACGGTGGGCGCGGCTGGGTCGTAGCCGGGGTGCGCGCGCAGCGCGGCGTCGAGCGCGGCCTCGCTCAGGTCGAGCGGTAAGTAGACGATTCGGCCGCTGGCCGAGGCGGCGCGCTCGCTCTTCCGCGCCGCGCGCTGTGCCTCGGCCATCAGCCGCCGCTTGGCCGCCTGGACGGACGGTTGGTCCACCTCGTAGACGCGCACGTGCGGCGGGATCGGCAGCCGGCTCCCGCGCGTGCAGAAGCCGGCCCCGAGGATGAGCAGCTGCGTGCACGGCGTCCTCGCCTCGCCCGGCGCGGTTGGCGCGCAGGCCCGGACCACCTCGTCGTCGAAGAGCCGCGTGCGGGCCACCATGAGCTGGACGTAGCCCGGGCACGTCAGCGCGTCGCTTATCGCCTGCCGCAAGCCGTGGCCGCTGCACCGGAGCAGCCAACGCGGCGTCCGCCAGCCGGCCATCGCGGCGGCGTAGGGGTCGTCGACCAGCCGGAGCTCGGGAGGCAGCATCGACTCGATGTCGCGGGCCTTGGCGACGCCACGGGCGGTGCCGGAGGTGGTGGGGGCGGCCATTATGTGTTACACAAGGGGTGGGGGGACACACCCAACGACTTCCTCGGGGCCTTTTGGAGGGCTGACCCGGCGTTGTTTCTTTTTCAGTGTATTCGCGTTGGGTCCGAGCCTGGCTGTTCTTCACCTTCCTACATCACATCGCATGGCCCTTACGTACATTCCCGTAGGAGGACTCTGCTGACAGGGTTTGCGATGAGGAGCGACGACTCACCCCCCGAAGGGCGAAGGGTTTCTCGGAGGTTGTTAGCCTTTTGATTTGATTTCTTGTTGTTAGTGTTTTCTGTGAACCAGCGCACAGCGCCGGGAGGCATTTTCTTCTCAGTAACAAGGGTCAAGGCAGCCTGAGAGAGAGAGATTTGAAAACCAACAAGAAATCACGACCGTCTCTCTCACAGTGATTTGGGCTCGGCAGCTTGTTAGCCCTCCAGCCGAAGGTTCCCTCAGCCGAAGCTGGGGCCGGTCCCGTAGCCGAGAGAGCCCGCGCCGATGAGTTCGACGCGGTCGGGAGGCCTTGCGGAGAGGCCATCGAGATGGCGATCGCTGTACTTGCAGCCTGTGAAGGCGATTTGTCCGGCTGTTTGTTTGCGGCGGGCGGCTTTTTGTGTGCCATTCACACGCCTCCACGTCACGTTGTGTTTGGCGTCCAGCTAAGCGCCAGCTGAAGCGCCAGGTTCCAAAACCGCCGCGACTTCCTAGCCCGCGAAAGCGAGCTCCTTTACAACTCAAGTCTTCTGGAGAGCATTTTTCCAAAAGCCCCAATGGGGTCGAGTTCGCCGTCGATGGGACAGGGACGTGTCCAACGATCGCCGTCACGATCCCCTCACCGATTCGAGGCACGTGCTGGCTCTGTGCTGGCGATGCACAGGTTGCTCCTCTACGCTCTCGCTGCCATGAACGGCGGTCCCTTCTCGTCCGACCCAGTGGTGCAAGTGGACTACCTTTCACCTCTTCCCGATGCGTTGCGACGCAGCCTCATGGCCATGCACTCAACCCGTCCTTCGAAGCACAGCGCCACTCCGTGGCGACCGGAGATGGATGCCTTCGTGCTGCTGTGCCACGTTCGAGACGGCATCTCGTTACCAAAGGTGGCAGAGCAGTGGCCGTTTGAATCCGCCACCAAACGAGGCAAAGATGCAATCAAGTGTCGATGGAAGAATGTTCTCAAGAAGCTCGACGCTCTCGACGACCTCCGACTGATCTGTGGATCCTGCGACGAGCGCGACGAGGCGGAGACGCAGCTGAACAGCACCGAGATCAGGCTGCAGCCGTGGGTCGAGGACGCTCTCGTGCAGCTGCACGCGCGAAAAACCTTGCCGATGAACTCAGCTTTCACTCCGTGAACTCAGCTTTAGCAAGAGAGCATCATACCTCTTTCGCACGAGCAATGGTGAAAAGATGGGCTAATGCACGAGAGGCAAGCGACCACGGGCTGGTGCTCGGCAAGAAAGTCGTGCTCGGCGGCCTCTCTGCCCGCCCCGAGCTGAACGGAAAGCGGGGCGTGGCGCAGAGCTTCGAGGGCGGGCGGTACGCGGTGGCGCTCGAGGGCGGCAGCGAGAGCGTGCGGGTGCGGCCCGGTCATCTTGCGTGGGAGGTGGTGGCGTGGGCGTACTTCCTGAGCTGCTCCGACGCGGTCGTGCTAGCGGCGGGGCGAGGCGACGAGGAGCCGGTGCTGGAGTGGCTTGATCGCGGCGGGCGGCTCGACGCGACGTACGAGACAGGCGAGGTGAGCGGCATCACGCTGCTGATGGGCGCCGCCCGTGATGGTCGCGAGCGGGTGGTCGATTTGCTGCTCCGGCGCGGCGCTGAGGTCGATCTGCAGAGCAACTTCGGCGGCACCGCGCTGATGCACGCTGCCAGTCAAGGCCACGCGGTGGTCGACCTGCAGGACAGCAACGGCGTCACCGCGCTGATGCTCGCCGCCAGCTTCAACCACCCCGCCGTCGTGCGGCGCTTGCTGTGGGCGGGCGCAGACACGGCGGCGCGCAGTGCGAGCGGCAAGACAGCGCTGCAGCTGGCCAAGGCGCAGGGCCACGCCGAGTGCGTCAGGGTCTTGTCGGCGGCGGCTGCAGACGGCCGGGCAGGGGCGGGCGGAGCTTCCTCGGGCGCGGCAGCGGCAGCGGCAGCGGTGGACGCGCCGCTGCTCGGCCAGCGAGTCGTGCTCGGCGGCCTCTCTGCCCGCCCCGAGCTGAACGGGAAGCGGGGCGTGGCGCAGAGCTTCGAGGGCGGGCGGTACGCGGTGGCGCTCGAGGGAGGCGGCGAGAGCGTGCGGGTGCGGCCGGGCAATCTGTCGCCACCGGCGGCGAGGCAGACGTCGAGCGGTGTCGCGGCAGTCTCCGAAGCGGTTATGCAAGCGGTTGAGCGTGGCGAGGAGGAGGCGGTGTTGACGTGGCTCGACGAGGGCGGGCGGGTCGACGCGACGTACGAGAGAGGCGGGGTGATCGGCACGCTGCTGATGATCTCCTCCCTCTACGGCCACGAGCACCTTGTCAAATTGCTGCTGCAGCATGGCGCAGGTGTCAACCTGCAGGACAGCGGCGGCGGCACCGCGCTGATGAACGCCGCCAGCTACGGCCACGAGCAGGTGGTCGACTTGCTGGTACGGCGCGGCGCTGATGTCAACGTGCAAAGCAGCGATGTCAACCTGCTGGACAGCCTCGGCTCCACCGCGCTGATGTACGCCGCCTTTTTCAACCACCCCGCCGTCGTGCGGCGCTTGCTGCGGGCGGGCGCTGACATGGCGGCGCGCAATGCGAGCGGCAAGACGGCGCTGCAGATGGCCAAGGAAAAGGGCCACGCCGCCTGCGTCGAGGCCTTCAAGAAGCACGTCCAGGAGGTGGTGGCGGGACGGCCCACGGCGACGGCAGCCGGCGGCGATGGCGCAGGCGGCGCTTCTTCCGGCGGCGCTTCCTCGGGCGCGGCAGCGGCAGCGGCAGCGGTGGACGCGCCGCTGCTCGGGCAGCGAGTCGTGCTCGGCGGCCTCTCTGCCCGCCCCGAGCTGAACGGGAAGCGGGGCGTGGCGCGGAGAGCTTCGAGGGCGGTCGGTACGCGGTGGCGCTCGAGGGAGGCGGCGAGAGCGTGCGGGTGCGGCCGGGCAATCTGTCGCCAGTGGCGGCGGCGGAGCGGCCGTCGAGCGGTGTGGTGGCGGTCTCCGATGAGGTCGTGGCAGCGGCTCATCGAGGCGATGAGGAGGCGGTGCTGGCGTGGATTGACAGCGGCGGGCGGGCCGACGCGACGTTCGAGAGAGGCGGCGCGAGCGGCATGACGCTGCTGATCCGCGCCGCCCTGGCAGGCCACGAGCGGGTGGTCGAGCTGCTGCTGCAGCACGGCGCGGAGATCGACCAGCAGGACAGCGACGGCCAGACCGCGCTGATGCTCGCCGCCATCCAAGGCCACGAGCGGGTGGTCGACTTGCTGACACAGCGCGGCGCTGAGGTCAACTTGCAGGACATCAAAGGCTGCACCGCGCTGATGTTCGCCGCCCTCCTCAACCACCCCGCCGTCGTGCGGCGCTTGCTGCGGGCGGGCGCAGACGCGGCGCGCACTGTTGGCGCCCGTGTTGGCGGCAAGACGGCGCTGCGGATGGCCAGGAGTCAGGGCCACGCCGAGTGCGTGCGCGCCCTCGAGGAGCACTCGTCGGCCACAGCAGAGGCGGACGGGGAGACGGCGGTCGCAGAATCAGCCGAACAGGCCGCGGCGGCCGCACGTGAGGCGGCGGCGGCTGCGGCCGCGGCGGAGGCGCGCGATGCTGCCGAGGCGGCGCTGCGCGAGGCGGTCGAGGCGTGCGAGCGAGGCGATGCCGATCTCGAGGCGCTCAGGGCGGCGATCAACGCAAACACCGCCCAGGCCGCCGACGGCTCGGAGGCGCTGCGGGCGGCGCGGCGGCTGCGCGACGAGCTGGCGGAGCGAAAGGCCCGCGAGGCCAGGGCGCTGAAGCGGCAGCGGCAGAAGGAGGAGAAGGCGGCGGCGGCGGCTGCGCGGGCGGCGGAGCGGGCGGCGGAGCGGGCGGAGGAGGCGCGGGCCGCAGAGGAGGCGCGAGTGGCGGAGGAAGCGGATCGGGTGGTAGCAGAGGTTGCGGCGGCGCGGGCGGCGGAGGAGGCGGAGGCGGCGTCGCGCGCAAGGGAGGAGGCAGAGGCGAGGGCGAGGGAGGAGGCGGCAAGGGAGAGGGAGGAGGCGAGGATGAGGGCGGAGGCGGAGGCGGAGGCGGCGGCGGCGGAGGCAGCGGCGGAGGCGGCGGCTGTAGAGGCGGCAGTGGCGGCCGTGGCGGCGGCGGAGGCTCAAGAGGCGGCGGCAGCGGCGGCGGCAGCAGAGGCAGCGGCGGCGGCGGAGGCAGTGGAGGCGGCGTCGAGTGTCGCCGCCCTCGCCGCCGCCGCCGCGCCGCCCGCCGCCGTCCCTCTCGACGAGCTCACCGCGTGGACCGACGGCTTTGCCGAGGCGCGCAAGGTGGGCGAGGGAGGCTTCGGGCGCGTCTACCGCTGCGACGCGCTGCCGTCGCTCCCGCGCGTCGCTTGCGGGTTCGCCGTCAAGACGGCGCTGGTCGGTGTCGGCGCCCAAGGCCTCGCCGAGCTGCAGAGCGAGGTGCGCACCCTCAGCGCGGCGTGCCACCCGTCCCTGCTTCCTTTACAGCGCCGGGAGGCATTTTCTTCTCAGTAACAAGGGTCAAGGCAGCCTGAGAGAGAGAGATTTGAAAACCAACAAGAAATCACGACGGCTCTCTCACAGTGATTTGGGCTCGGCAGCTTGTTAGCCCTCCAGCCGAAGGTTCCCTCAGCCGAAGCTGGGGCCGGTCCCGTAGCCGAGAGAGCCCGCGCCGATGAGTTCGACGCGGTCGGGAGGCCTTGCGGAGAGGCCATCGAGATGGCGATCGCTGTACTTGCAGCCTGTGAAGGCGATTTGTCCGGCTGTTTGTTTGCGGCGGGCGGCTTTTTGTGTGCCATTCACACGCCTCCACGTCACGTTGTGTTTGGCGTCCAGCTAAGCGCCAGCTGAAGCGCCAGGTTCCAAAACCGCCGCGACTTCCTAGCCCGCGAAAGCGAGCTCCTTTAGGACCTGCGGTCTTCCTGCTTCGCCGCCAGCCATGCAACAGACCGGCTCCCTATTTCCCACTCCGTTCGGCGAGGGCTCCTCTGCGGGCCGCTACTACACGGCCCCCGCGCGGATCTCCGGCCGCTCCAAGCGCGAGCCTTGCGACGGGCCACACGCCGCTCCGGCGCTTCTCGGCGAGGGGCAGCCGGGTATGTGGCCAAGGGTGCGCAAGCAGCGGACGCCGGACGGAGCGATGGACATCTGGGAGCTCAGCGAGCGCTGCGCCGCCACCGCTCCGCCGCCGTTCGAAGGCGCTCTGGATGAGGGCGCCAATCCGGCCAAGGGCGACGAGGACGCCGCCGACACCCTCGCGGAGCTCGGCGATGGCTTCAAGCGGATCTCGATCCCCGACCCGGCGGATGCGGCGGCCCTGGCGCCGAAGCCCGACACCGAGCCCCCTTCGCCGTGCGCCGCCTCCGTCGCCAGCAACAGCTCTCGCCTCTCCGACATCCGGCTCTCGCAGCTCGAGGCGCTAGTCGCAGAGGAGGCGGCGGCGAAGGCGGCGGCGCAGGCGCACTTCGAGGCGGAGGAGGCGCTGCAGCAGCTCCACGCGTCCGGGCAGGTCGCCGACGAGATGTTCTACGGCCTGATCGGCCAGGCCAGCCGGCCGGCCATGCACTTTGCGGAGCCGGCGGCGCACGCGATGCACATGCACATCCCTCCCGCGGTGCCGCAGCGGTCCCTCGCGGCGGCGGTCACCGTGCCGAATCTGCTCCCTCCCGCCCGCTCGCCACACGGCCGGCCGAGCGCCACGGCGGTCGAGATGGAGCTCGGCGGCCGGCGGGGCAAGGAGGTGGAGCGGAAGGAGTGGCTGGCTTCCGAGGATCAGATTATCCGCGACGGAGTGCAGCGCCTCGGCTGCCGCTGGCGGCGCATAGCGGAGCGGCTTCCGGGCCGGTCGGACGACGCGGTGCGGAACCGGTGGAACCGGCTGAAGGAGATGGAGCGCAAGGGCCCCGACGCGTGCGACGCGGCGCCCGACGAGCTCAGCGAGTCGAGCGGCGGCGCTGCGCGGCCGGCCGCCGCCTC